CCGCAAGCAGCGCACCGCCCGCGTCGGCGCCCCGCACCGCGTCAAGAAGGAGGAGACCGCCGCTTGGTTCAAGCAGCGCTTCGACGGAATCATCATGCGCTAAGGGTCTCCCCGAGGCGGCCCTCCATGAGCCCTCTCCCGGTCGTGTCCCCGTCGCGCTTCATCCCGTTTCCGTTCCCGTTTCTTCCCTCTCGCCCTGCACTCCCGCCCTCCCTCTTGCGGCCCTGACGATGCGAGCGGCGCGTCTCGCAGGATGGGCGACCGACGCTCTTCCCTGCACCTCCTCCTGGCGCCTCGTCGACCTTTGCCCGGTCGGTCGAGTCGAGCATCGAGGCCGACGCCCGTCCGCCTTCCCCTCGCCCCGGCCGCCTTCGCTCCTTTTCCTTTCCTCGCCCTCTTTTGCTCCCTCGTTCGCGCCCGAATCGGAGCAGGCGGTGTACACCAGCACCCCACCCACGCACACGCGCAACCCCCCCACTGCACAGGCACCCAATCAACTTGCATGTACAAAATAGGCACGGGCACCCGGCGAAGAGCCGGTACGGTCCGCGAATCGGGCAGCAGCTGCGCTCTGTACTTCCCTCCCTCCGTCTTGCGCTGCTGGCCTTTCCATCCGTCGTCGGCTCGAGGTCGGTCCTCGATGCCTCTGGCGTGGCCCGCTTGCGCTGCTCGGGCGGCATGTCTACAGTCCCGCTGCTTGCTCGGTCGACACCCACACAGCCTGGTCGGCACCTTGCCGCTCGGGTGAACAAAGAAAATCAAACCACATATCGCTCGCCTGTCGTCTTCGCTTTGGGTCTGCTTCGCTTCTGTCGGTGGTTGTCCGCCGCTCAGCTTGTGTGTGCGTGCTGTTCCTGATGGACGTCGGGCCGCTTGATGAAGCAGGACAAGGCGCGTGTGCAAAAGAAAATTGGCATCAGGCCACCGAGCGCGAGCCAAATCTGACCAGGTCCCCTTCGAAAGGGCTGACTGCTGCAGCAGCTCGTGCGTCAAGCCCAGCCCCGCTGATGAAAGAAAGAGCAGAGCAGGCCTAGTGAACAACAGGGCATGATGTCTTGCAGACAGGGCCACTCAAGAAGGGTCTGCCACTGTGTGCATCTCATCAGGACAACAGCTCCACAGTAAGGCCATGTTCATCAAGCCTTTGCAGTCCACATCAGACAGGATCTATGACAGAGGGACACCAGTGCTGAGTCCATGGCGTGAGAGGACCCGGCCTTGTCATTTAGCCATAAGATATCGGCCCAGGAGTTGAGCCGAGCGTGTTGCCAGCTCCCACGCGTTTTGTAGGGGATGTGCCAGTCGCAAAACGACGGGTGCGACTACAGCAACGTGAGGAGATCGTCGAGCTGGATGTCGTTCCAGTCAATGTTGTCTGCAAGATCGACATCGAGCATGGATAGGGCGTAGATTGTGGTGTGCAAAGGCCCTTTTGGCGCCTTCAGTCGGTTGGTCATCTGCTGCCATCGGCTGCCGAAGCAGACCAGGAGGTCGGCTGCGTCGGCTCCGTAATCCTTGATGAGGACCTGTAGCTAGCTTGGCTTGTTGTCCTCTTCATGTCCTGATGTTGGTCACCTGTGCCACAGTTGCCTCATGCTGCAACATTATTGATTACAATAACAACATGTTGAGATGGTACCTGACTGGCAAGATGGAGAAGGTTTGGGCCACAGATGGCCAAATCAATGCAGCAAGCGGCACAGTTTGGACCAGCAGCAACTTTTGAGAAGCCCACATGGTGCCAACGCTTGCCACAATGTCAGCCCACACAATGCTACGCTTCCTCGACTGCCAAATCACGAGGATTCAGTTGTGGCTTGCAGACCAGGACCAGAGCCTTTCCGAGGATACATACCTCTGCTGGCATCAACTGATGATCACCTTCATGTGCTGGCAGAGCAGGGAAAAAGAAGATGGATGGCATGATGCAGAAGGGAGGTGATGGGTGGCGCCGCTAAGGGCTGTCCCTGGCTCAGGACTTGGGTGAACCAGGACCACTGTGCAACACCTCATACATGATTGTCTCACATAGGTCATGAAGGCCAGCATTGAGCTCAAAGGGCTGTGGCAAGCAGATGGCTGTCATCAAGGTCAGCTTCCTCATTGACAACAACAGGTTCACCAAGGGCTGAGCCCTTTGCCTGCTCAGCACATTGCACAAGACTGGCTCTGAAGAAGACAACAAGGAGTTCAGGGTGCAGTGTGGCTCTCTGATGCTGACAGCACCAAGAGTGGCCCAGGTGCAAGGTACATGAGTCAAGCACTGCTCTTCTAGCTACACCACCTGCCAAGATGATGCTGCAGCTCTTTGGCAGTTCTGCAGCAAGGACAGAGTGGCATGTTCATGTGCTTGTTGACAGCTGCAGTCATGCAGGCCTATTGCTGCTAGGACTGATGGGCAGATGATGCCATCTCAAGGTGCAGCAGAAACCTGTGTACATTGCTGCTTCAGCATTGCAGCTGGATCTGGCCAGTCCTGAAGGCAAACTTGCCATTGAGCGCAAAGGCATGGCCCTTGCTCAAGACAATCTCCTCGCTTTTGCTGTGGATGTTTCTGCAGCCTGCAGTCATCCTCTTGGCGATGGTGTGCTGCTTGGCGCTGCGGACAAGGTTGATGCCAGATGTGCAGCAAAATGTCTCGAGTTCCTCTTTGACAGCTTGGCTGTTGCATTTGGCATTGTAGAGGATCAGAAGCTTGGATGAGGAGCGCTGGGCAATGACGGCGATGCAGACCAGCCTGCAGGTACCTGCACTGAAGATGACACTGACGCTCTTCTGCTGCATAGTCTCAATGAGCGGCTGGATCGCCAGCCAGCGGAGTTGCTCACGGAGCGCATTGTCGACGAGGCCGCGCAAGCGCTCAAAGACCTTGGTTTGGTCGTGGTCGATGCTGACCTGGACCGGGCCCCGTGTCATGCTCTCGATTGTTATGCCCTTGGGGTCTTGGATTACCGCGGGCGGCCAAGGACGGTATAGGGCTTGCGCGGAGAGGTCAGGGATGAGGAGGAGTAAGGATCTCGATGCTGTACCGGTCTCTAGTGGTGAGAGGATATAGTACATTCGACAAGGAGCCTTCCGAGGGCCTCCTTGCTGTCCCGCAGTATTTGTACTGGCAGCCTTGGATCTCTTCCCCCTGCCGCAGGGCTGACTGCGGCAATTGCCGCTCGGCCCCGAGGGCGCAGCCCTGGCCTCAGGACTTGGGCAGCCCCGCAGATGTCAGCCAAGGCGCGGCCTGACAGGCGGATCCGAGGCTGGACAGTACAGCAGCTGACCGCAGGCCCAAGGCCAGCCCGCGGGGGCCGTATAAGATGAAGGATGAGACAGGCGGGCCCTGTGGGGGGTCCCCCGTCAAATGTACTATACTCTCCTAGTTAGGGAACAGTACAGCATTGATAACCTCTCCTACGTCCTGCGGGAACACCCTTGACCTCTACACGCAAGCTCCGACTGCCCATGGCCGTACCACGGTTACCAGCACCCCGAGGGCCTAACAATGGCACAAAGGATCTGTTAAGCCCTCGGGGTCTTGGGATACCGCGGGCGGCCGAGGACGGTGTAGGGCTTGCGCGGAGAGGTCAGGGATGAGGAGGAGTAGGATATCGATGCTGTACCAGTCTCTAGTGAGCAGAGGATATAGTACATTCGACGAGGAGACCATCAGGGGCCTCCTCGGGAACCTAGGGACTTTATACTGGCCCCCTCGAGATCCCCTCGTGGCCGAGGGGCCGGCTGCGGCAATTGCCGCTCGGCTCCGCCGTCCGTCAGCCCTTCCTCGGGACTCGGGCACCCGCGGGGCACGTTGGGCAGCCGCCTAACAGGATCATGTCAGAGAGCCTGTCCTTCTGTTCTACAAGTGGTTTGGCAAGAACAACTTACCTTTGACAACCTGTCTGTCTTGGAGCTGGTTCTTTTGCAAGCTTTTGCCCTGGATATTGGTGTCCATGCTTTGCAGACAATGGGAGCTTGAGATGGAAGGAGGATGACACAAGCTCATGTGTTGCCACCTGTCACAGCCCTGGCCCAATCGGGGCTGAGCGGCGCGGGCCAGCGGAGCAGAGGATTCCGGAGCCGAAGTGAATTCTCTCCGCGCGGCTGCGGAGAGGAATCACCAGGCCGCCAGCAATCCTCTGCGCGTTGGGCGACGTCGGCACGCCCTGTACAGCTCCCCAGTTGCTCCTGCTGGCAGGCAGACGCTTCGGATCCGCTCCGAGGGCCAAGGGCTAGGCTTCGGGCACGTCGGTGGCGTCCCACCTCGGAGCAATGCCCCAGGATGACAATGGAGGACAATAGGACAATAGAGGCTACCCCTGAGCGGTCAAGGCAAGGATGCCTCGAAGCTGTAGGTAGGCAGTATATAGCCTAGTCCTCCTCCGCATTGGTAGACTGGATGCCCCTCATCCAGTCTAGTCATTACCAGTCCTCACCGCTTGCTCGTCTTCCATCGACGTGAGAGCCCGAGGCTACCGTTGTCTAGCAATTGCGACGTCTATCGACAGATCACCACGCCAGCTCACTTCCATAGTCATCCTTGACCGTGGACGCCTGCCAACGGTGCTCACAGTCGCCCTCGGTATCAACCTGCCGTTCCTGAACCTCGCTCACGCCTCTGACGGGAGCACCAAAGCGATCGCCCTCCGACGCGCAGAGACTTCTCCGCCCCTCAGACAATCTTCTGCGCACCGCCAGGTCGACCGTTACACCACCAAGGTCAAGGTACAGGTGACCAACTTCAGGACATGAAGAGGACAACAAGCCAAGCAAGCTTCATATCCTCATAAGGATTACAGCCCAATCTGGGGGGAAGCGTAGCACTCATATGCCCCAAAAGAACCCAGATGCACCTGCTGCTAGCTATGACTTGTATCCCATCCCCCTCAACCTCTCCCGGCACACTCTGCTGCCTTAGGCCTGACCACAGCTAGCAAGACCCCTAGAGCTTATCAAGGGCCTCCTTGTTGCTCCACAGTAATTGTACTGGCAGCCTTGGATCCTCTCCCCCTGCCGTGGGGCCAACTGTGGCAATTGCTGCTTGGCCCCAAGGCGTGCTGCCCCAGCCTTGGGACTTGGACCGCCCCACAGATGTCAGACAAGGTGCGTTATGACACAATAGTGCTACATCTCCTACCTGCCCTCTGCAGTCAGCTTGGATGTGGTCCTCCTGTTACTTGTTAGCCCCGAACTTGCCTTCAGATGAGCCTTGAGGTTTCTGAGTATATATACAATTCTTTTTGGCCGCCTGACACAAATTAAAGGCAATCTGTCCGAGTGGTCAAGGAGTACGTCTCGAACCAAAATGCCCGCGTGGTTCGCGCCCCTGTTGGGGAGGAAACGTATAGGCTCTGCCTGCACAGGTTCGAATCCTGTGGTTGTCGCACAATCAAATGTGCCCTCGAAAGCTTGAGGTGCCTCTTTTTGTCGTCTTGGGGTTTTTTTTTTTTTTTTTTTCTTTTTCTTGTCTTTCTTTC